AGACCCCTCTGGGAGTGGCACAGACAGGACGGTTGCTCTGTTGTGGTGCCGCCTTCTTCCATAGACCACATCCAGGCAGCTTGTCCAGTGAGGCAGATATTTTTGCCCTCAGATAGCCAACACTGCCATGTGTACACACTCCCTAGCATCAAGGTTTGTGTATGACTGACTGGCCACCTTATCACAGAGGACCTGCTTATCACAGTTGTTTTCACGAGGACCTGCTCAGACCTCTTCTTTCAAAACAAGAAGAGACTGGCCAAAACAGGACGTTACTCCCTCTCCCAAAAAGCGTGTACAGTCCCCAAAATGGTAAAGCTCTTGAAACACAGAAATGGCTAGAGCTTTGAAACAGGGGATGCTATGGGTCCTTTAGCTTTTTTGGTAGGATGAGGACACAGTGAGCCTTTGGGTCATAGAAATGGCCTTGGGATGGGATGGGGGTCCTGATGTGACCTGTGGGCCACACTTTGCCTACCCCTGTCTGCAGCCACATGACCGACTCTCCCTGCTGCATCCCCACAGAAGGGGTGCATAGCGGAAGGGAGGGGAGCGTTTAGGGGTCTGGCATCTCCGCCAGCCCTCTTGTGAGACTCACCTGTCCCTTGCCCCTTTGCCCCCCCCCTTGCAGGTGAGCCAGCTGAGCAAGCACTTTAACATCCGGACCTTCTCCCTTCAGAAGCCCAGCTCCGACTGACTAGGCGTGGAGATGGCAGCGGAGGAGAAAGCCAGCCTGCACTCAGTTGAGGCACTGTAAATCCTGTCCGTTGCCTGTGTACATATTCTTCAGCCATCACCATGGGACTAAACTTGGACTCACCTTGGACGGTCAGGGGGCCGAGGATGTGCGAGGTGCAGCAGTTGGGCAGGGGGCCTTCTTCCCCCTCTTTCCTCCTTGCTGCCACCATGACCGCCGGCCTCTTTTTCACCAACTGGGCCAGGGCTTCACACTCCAGAACAGCTGCGTGCCACGTTCTGCACCTCCAGTCTGGGCCGTGGGCAATGCCACACAGATGCTCATGAAGGCAGTGGTGGTGGAGCTGTTGGATTGCCACGGGACATCCATGAGCCTGCAGAAGGATTTGCAGTTTGATGGAGGAACAGGTGGACTGCCCCACATCCTGAATCACGGACTCAGTCACACCAGAGGCTTCTGAGAGAAAGAGAAGGAAGCTATTGTTGGAAAAGGAGTGTTGGTTGGCACTTGGGTAACCACAACTCTGCTGTAGGCTGTGTTCTCCACCAAGAGTTTTCCAACCCACAGTCGCACTCATGCCTCTCGCCCCTTGAATGTTGGGACTTGGACGGGACCCTCAAGCCATAATGTTGGCACAGTGGGTGCCCTCGCTCTGGGAGTGGCCTGCCAAGTGGGAGCAACCTTCACCAGTGGAGCAGAATGACCGGCTCTTCCTCCCTTACCACCGCAGCAGGAGATGTTGATGGGCAGCAGCGTCACCCATTTGTGTGGCAAGAGGCCTCCTCATGCCACACCATGCCATGCCACGCCAGGATGGTTGGACACGGGAGGCGGACAGAGGAGGCATGCTTCTGCAAATCATTTGTCAGGCGACATGCGTCTGTGTGTGCATTCGTGTTTACATCCTTTCAGAGCTGCACTGCTTCACACGGGCGGAGGGCTAATTTAGTTTTCTTTTGCAAAACCCAGTTTGATTTCCACGCCCAGATTCAGCAGATTCCTCCAGCGATACGGTTCCTTCCTGGCTTACCATCCAACAGGAAACGTGGGCATTTCCCCCTCCCTGGCCATCTTTCATTCTGTTTCATCGAAGAAGTGGTGAAGACAAGGGCCGGTTTTTCTCTTTTGTTGGCGGCCTTATTTAATGAAGAATATTTTTTTCTTTGTGTTTATTTGTGTGCTTTTATGAAGAGTGCAGCCTAAACCCAAACTCCTTGGAACGGTTGCACCCGGAGGAAACTGAGCGCAGCAAAGAATATTCCTGTGGAATTGACAACAGGGCAGGCGGCAGGTTTTTATTTGGGGGGTTTGAAATGAAAGGAAGTCTCCCCCTTGCGGGGGACACATTCCATTCTTGGGGGGGCAGAAATTGCAATTGTGAATGGCTATTTAACTTTTCCTTTGTAAACTTGAATCATTATGTCAGTGAGCAAGATGAAAGCAATGTAACATCCTAGAACCGACTCTTAGATCAGTTTTTCTCCTCTCCTCTCCTCTCCTCCCTTCCCCTTGTAAATATATCTTTCTTTTTAAGAAAAGAAAAAAAAGAACTCTTAAGTTTGACCACAAATGCCATTTCTGGTACGTTAGGAAGCAAGAGAAAAGCTGGTTCCAGTTGTTAAGAGATGAGTGTTTCAAAGAGCAGCAGGGGAGTAGACTGATTTGGGGCACAGATGAAGAAACAATTCAGATTTGTCTTTATTAGTCCAGTGTTTAATGGCTTTGAAATAGATGGGGATGAGGAGATTTGCCTTCTTTTTTAATTAAATGGCTTTGCACAGAAAAAAAAAAGATATGGGTGTATAGAAGAATGGAGGCACACTTGAATACATGAAGGTATATACAATTTGTAATGTAATTCAGTAATCATTTATAAATCACAAAAGAGACATTTGGCTCTCCCAGAGCCCTTTTGGGGTGCTGGAGTTGTCCACTTCAGATAGGGAGAGGTCTTTTTTGGTGCATTTTGAATAAGGAATCATTGTGCAAACATGTGGCTCTCTGTCTCTTTGGGGGGGGGGAGGAAGAGAATGGCTGGTTATTATGATGATTGTTGTCACACTTTGGAAATAGGGTCTTCAGGTTGATGGTTCTGGGGCGTTGGCGATGGCAAGGGGTGCTTGGCTGGTGCTTGCTATAACAGTCCTTTTGGGCAGGAGGGTCTTCTCACCAGACCCTCTGGGAACCGGAGGACCTTCTCCATGTATGTGTGGGTGTCCTGCAAATCCCATGATGTGATCTGGTAGAAGAGGGTCCCCCCAGGCCAGGGGTGGGTCCCTGAGGTCACAGAATGGGAAGGAGGACACCTTTGGG